TTAGTCTTTCATTTTTCCCTTTTCTTTATAGCAAAAAGCATCGTTAAGCCCTCAGAAGCAAAGTCCTCAGAAGCAAAGTCCTCTGGATAGTGAGGTAAGACTACTCAAAGAATTTTGCTGGCAGCTTCTGAATTCTTAGCTTTCTCTGTCAAAAATTATTTTCCTGGTTATAAAGAATTTTTCATTCCTGGGCTTATAGCTTTTTTTTCATGCTCAGTAAGCATTGGGATTTTTGCTCATGGGACCAGCTTAACGTATTTTTTTTTTTTTTTTTTTTGTATTTGTGTAGATTGCCTATTTGAGGACTTCTGTTTTATTGTGTTGTTCCTATGTTTTCTATGTTCTGTATGGAAAATGCATTCTGTGGTCCATTTTAAGATACTCCTTGGAAGCGGTACAATTCCTACAGGAGTATCAGATGAGTTTTTGTGTTGCAGTCATTTTTCCTTTGGTGATCATTTTTCTCCAGTTTTACTAGTTTTAGATTACTAGTTATTCCAAAAAAAAAAAAAAAAAAAAAAACATTAGAATTTTGAGGATTATCAGATATGGGAGGAAAAAAACAGCTTTAATGTAGTTCTTTAAGTAAGAAATAAATGAGGGGAAGTCACGTAAGGCTCAGTCTTCTAAAATATGCAGACTTGAGCCAATAACATCTATTCATTTTCCGAATTGTATTTCTGTATAGTAACACATCTTCCTCTACCTGCCACCCCCAGTTTCCTCTAGGGAAAGTTCACTTGCTAGTACTAACCATTATGTTTAAAATGATACGCTTTAAAAACACTACATTGGAAGCATTTTCCAACTTATTCTTTTTCTGTTCAGAAATTACCCAGACTTTAAAATTTTTTAATTTTTTACTGCTTTGCTTAATGTTCTTCTGTTTTGAACTTCCAGAGAGTCCTTTGTTCTACCTCAGTAAGAATTGGGAATAGAGTTGTCTGTGAAGAGTTGTCTGAATTTGCTTGAGACAACACAGAAAGCAGACCAATTAATTCCTGAAGTGATAAGAATAGACTGTAATCCATGGGTCATATGGCTACATATCCCCGTGCTTCCTTACCTTTACTTACATATACAATGTGAAACTGTGGAAAAACTGCCTGAGAAGGGTCATGTGTAGTCCAGAATGTCTGTCTATTCACATACTGTGTCATTCTGTGTGTTTCTGACATTACTCCATCTTTCCCACCTCCCAGTGTCCCTTTCCATCCCGAAGGTCTCAGCATACTGATGATAGTGCCTTGTTAGTGGTAAGAATCCTGCACGCAATGACCTTTCTATGTGGCAGATTCTAGAGCCTAAAAATAACGAGATGTTATGATTGTCTCCGATTAGACCGACTATTTTAGAGCTAATCTAAATAGCATAAAACATGATCATCTTTGAAAAGTGGCTTAGCTGTGAACTTTGATGCCGTGAATTCTTCCGTGATGCTTCTACTGCCAGCAATTTGGTGGTAATAAAGTGGTGTTTTTCTATAAAAGACTTAAAGCTTACCTTGTGCTGAGAGAAGGATGTGGCTGATAATGTGAAACAGGTTCTAAAATTCAAACTACACCTCTTATGGTTCCAGTTTGATTCCCCTTGTATTTAGCTTATATGCTAATTGATGAGCTCTTCAATGTTAAGTAAATAATTTTAATGCTGTGTATGTAACTTTCTGTTTTAATTTGTTTACATGCAGCATACAGTGATTGGAAACACTCAGAATCTCAGTAACAATATGAAAAGAGGGAAAAAAGTGCTCTGCATTCCAGTGCTACAAATCATGAAATATTCCTTATACATTTCGTTTTTATTGTTTATCAGTGACAAAATCTAAAAATGATCTATTTTGGACACTGGAAATATATTTATTTCATGTTTTATGCTATTTCTTCCTTTATGGTATCTTACCGATATAGCATAATTAAAAAATTTAATGCCATAATCCTTGCCTATTTAAAAAAAAAAAAAAAAAAAAATCAGATTTGCCTGCTGTTGCATGACTGCATGCCTGGGGTTTATTTTCTTAATCCATGTGCTTCTGTGATCTGCCTAAACTTTCATTAGGCAGTGCGGGGAGAATGTATCTCATCAGAACACATTGGTCAAGATAGTTATTTACTGTCTCTCTATTCAGACTTTTGTGTTTGGTTGCTGTCCTGCTATTGCYTAACTGGCCCTGTGTGGGAGGGAGAAAGAAAGCTCATATAATACCAGTGTGTGATTCAGTTGTCATCCTGTGTGTGCCACTTCAGTAATCAGTATATGGAAATATGCTCTCCTATTTATATAATAAGAAACAGGAGAGAAAAATAAGTGAATTACATTAAGTTTTGCTGTTCTATTGTCAGTGAATTCATCTTCGGAATGTATTTTAGAGATGCCCATGAGGACCCCGTTTCTATTTGATTATGTGACGTTTTTGCTTCTATAAGTACATAATACATCAAATTTTAGGTTATATACATGGTTTGGAGTTAGCAGAAATTATTTGGGAGGGACTGTTGATTTTTTTTATGTCTTTTTTTCAAATTACCTTCATGATTTTCACAAAGAAGCAATCGGATTGATGGGGAAAAATCAAATCATTTTTCAAAAACTCWCTTTATTCCCTTTTTCTCTCTAATTTCTTATTCTTTCCAGTAGCACTGTAATAATATATGAAATACTGGGTTTTCTGAACTTCTGAAGTAAGATCTTGAGATTTATTTTGTAGTGGAAATATATACTGTGTCAAATGATGACATATGCTGGGACAGCTGTTTCTAGCAATTACTGGAAGTGGAACAGTAAGCCCTTGCTAGCTCATGAATTTGTAACATTTTTTTCCCTATGAATATATTTCTTATAGTAGAACTTGTTCAACAGCAAGAAAATGCTCATTAATTTGCTAGGAGTTGGAATTGCTTTTATCTTTTCCGTTCCATTTCATTTAATGCTTTCCCTGTCCTTATGGATTACAAATTTAGCTTGATCTTATTTTTAAGGATGATCTTTTTCTGAAGTGTAGGCGTGTTTCATTTCAAAACTCCATTCAGTAATAGCATTTCTCAGTACATGTTTTTCATTTAGGTATAATTTCTGTGTCTTTCTCACTCTCTGCTTAAATAACGTAGGTTCTCATACAAACCTTACCTGACATAGTTTTAATTATTTTCAGCATTTGAACTTGCAAATTATTTAATTAAAAAAAAAAAGTTACATTTTCCACTGACTGATTGCTGTAGCTTTATGGTGTGGGAATTACTCTCTGCAGCAAAGCAGAGCGTTATGCAGAAATAAAAGCCCTTTTGTTTAGTATTTCCCTCATTACATCAGAGCTCTATAAATGGAGCAGTTGCTTTGCTTTTGCTCCAAGCAATGCTTTCACCTCAGATGCAAGGAAAAAAATTACAAAAACAAGCTTAATGGGATAGTTAAAAGGCAAGCAGCTATTTTTTATTTTGCTGCTTTTCTCTTCTGGTTACTATTTTATTATAAATTTTCCTGAATGCAGAATTGAAGCAGAGTCAGCTTGTTACCTTTACATCACCTCTTGGCCCTCTCTGTATATGTTGCCTTTTTCTCACAGATTCGTTTAAAATTGTTTCCTTCCATTTGAAAAGCCCTTTTGAAGAGTCCGTTGGGATTCGCGCGCCTCCCTTGAGCACCAGTAATTCACTTGAGGTGCAGGTCGCTCCTGAGCGCCTGGGAGCTGCAGCAAGGGGACATTGGGAGGCAGAAGTCCTCTTTTTCCCCCAGTATCTTCTTGTTTTCTCTCATGCTGTCCCTCACAAGGCGACTGCTATGGAAGAAGACCCCAAAGTGCCAAGCATCCTTTGCCCTCTCTCCAGCTGCTTCCCAATTTCCCTCTGTCGTGAGGCCCACGAAAGACTTGACGGTGCCTGGCAGCTGGGGTGGCCTCTCCACACGGCCTGCGTGTGGCGGCTGCCGTGGGCGCTCCCTGCTTTGTGTGTTCTTGTTGGCCTCGGCCGTGGCCCCCGGCTGGGAGGGCCGCGTCCAGCACGTGGAGCCACCCGTGTGTTTTAAACAAGGGCTTTTAGGCACCCCTGTACTACCAGGAGTAACTGTGTGAGTGAAGCAAGCAGGGCTTGAGCTACGCTAACCTATGCCCTGGCATCTGTTTTGGTAGTCAGACACCTAAGGGTCAGATTGGCATCACTGCAGTCTCCATGTTTGGTTAGTGCTGATTTCTGGTTGGGCTCTGCTCCGGCAGACCCCGTGTCTACGGTAGTCTCTGGCAAGGGGACACTTTGGGCACTTCAGCACTGSACCTCGACACCGAGTGCGGCATGTGCCCTGGCGTGTTGCAAGCCCGAATTGCAGCATCCTGTTCCTTTCGCGTTGCAGCGGCCTTTCCTTGCGGTTGTTCTCTGCCTCACTTCTTCCTCTCTCCCTCCCTCTTTCCTTGCTGTCCCTGACAGAACGGCTTTGAGCCTGTCTTTGTGTTTGAGATTGACAGTAACACCAATACCATTAAAAGGCGGCCAGGGACTCGCAAACAGGTGAAAAGCATGTGGTGTGAAGCTGTTGTGGTGGTTGTCCCCTGTGGTGTGCTGTGTCCCTGCCCTTTGTGCGTTGTGACCGCTCCCTTCCTGCAGTCTGCACCACGCTTGTCTGGTTCCTTTCATACAGAAATAGTTCAGTTAACCAGAACCTGTGGTCTGTAACGTTTGGGTTTGATTTTTTTGTTTGTTTGTTTCTTTGTTTTTCTCTCCCTATGACCACTAAGGTCATAGGTCATTTGCTTAAGTCAAATGGTATTTTGACATAGGTCATTTGCTCAAGTCAAGTGGTCATTTGCTTAAGTCAAATGGTATTTTGACATAGGTCATTTGCTTAAGTCAAGTGGTATTTTGAAACTCCAGTCTTATAATAATAATAATAATAATAATAATACCACACTGCTACCTTGAGGACCTGCTCCCAAGCCTGCATGTCTCCTGCAGATGCTTGTGCTTAAGGCTTGCCTGGCACGTAAGCTCCCTTTTTAGGCCTTCCTGGACACACACTTTTGAAGAGGCAGAATAGCTGTGAATCTCTTAAAGCACTAACAGCCAAAGTGTGTGACTCGCCCATAGAGAATTCCTAGCTATCATTTAGTGCTTTTCTTTAAAAAAAAAAAAAAAAAAAAAAAAAAAAGTTGCACTGCTCCTATGCTATTTGAATGCCATTTCAGAAGGTTTTGTTTCCTTCTTGAGTCATCCAGTCCTCAAATGTTAATGGTTTCTGTGTATTTTTTTATAATTGGAGGGATGGAAAATAGTTCATGCCAAGTAAAATTAAGAAGGCAACATTTGCATTTTTATTTCCCTGGGATATTTAGTGCCTGGGATATTTAGAGTCCCAAGTATCCTCTTTTGGACTTTACTGTGATTTTTGTGCAGGCAATACACACAATTACGTTACGTGTTTAGACAGTAGACTGCCATAGTTGACGTTATTTCCCACAGTTGGATACGACCTTGTCCCTTAGCAGCGGTGTTGGCTGAGGAATTCTTGGAGGGGAGCAGATTTAGCCCTTTAGATACTGCCGTCAGTGACGTGTGTGTATTGGGAGGCTGGAGGATCCGGCTCGGACACATGGAAATTTGGTTTGGTTGAGCTTCTCAAAGGTCAGCGTTAGGTGGTTAGGGCACAGAGTACTTGTGTATCCCTGAGCCTGTTAGATTGGGTATCTCTGCAGTCACCAAAGCAGTAAAATTAAAAAACAACCTGCTAAAACTGCAGTGTGTGTTTGAAACACATTTTAAACACATTATGTTAAGAGGAAAGCTATTTTTATTTTGCAGGTTGTTGCAGGGTGAGCTTCCCCTTTTGGGCCCGAGTCTGCTGGCATAGGYTCTATGTGTATTAAAAAGAAGCTCCCACCCCATTTGTTAGTTCAGCTTCTGGTGTCCCCGTGGCGTGTGTAAAAGAAACGTGCCACCTGCCAGGCTTTTTGGCCACAAAGTTTAAGGGATAGGAAGGCTTTAACTGTAGTTCAGCAAGAAATATCTTTGTTTTCCTGTCTTTTGCTGTTGAGTGTCTCTGCGYGTGTGACCACTTCTTCCTTTCTAACTTTTCTAGTGTGTCCTGCCTCTGCACGTGACCTGTCAACTGTTTTGCTAACACTGCTGCTGCCTTCTCTTTCTTTCTGTGTTCAGTCACTCTCAGGGTTGAGTCAAGAAGCCTCTGCTCCTACCCTGCCTAATGCCTCTACCTTCAGACCTGTCAAGGTATCTCTTGCTATTATCATTCACCAGTAAAGCCATCAAAAAGCTCTTGGATCCACACATCTGTTTTAACAGGTGTTAGTGTGTCAGCTTCTAATCAAAAGTTCAGGTAGGGCATGAACCTGATCTACCTGAATAACTTATAATAGATATTACCTCACTTTAGCTGTAGGCTGTATTAATTATAACAGCATGTTAACCAGCCTCTGTTCTGAGGGGTTCTTAGTCATCTTTGTTGTATTTTATTCACAAAATCATTTTCCTCTTGGCCAAGTTGAGTTGAAGTATTTTTGTTGTATTCTTTACCGGCTTACTTTTACCATTCAGTAAAGTTATCCTGTATTTCCTTCTCCTCTGTGGAAATGGTTATGAGTGCATTCATCACCAGTCTATGCAAGCACTCTCATAAAACTGCAGTCCCTATTTTATTAGGGAGAGTGAAATTTAGTAAACAGCAGTTCTGTAATAGCAGAGATGTAAAGGGAGGTTGTGTATTTGCCATTACGCAAGTTCTTCGCATTCTTAATTGTCTGTTTTTCAGTGTCTTCTTGAGAGGGAAGTGTTTGGTTAGAAGCAAGAGTAWACAAAGATCTGTCACTGCACTGTCAATGCCATTTCATAATTCTTTTTTCCTGAACAAAGAATTGTGCAATTCGTACAAGTGAAATAACTTTGTCACTTTCTGAAGAGATGAGATCTAGAGAACAACATGCTGTGTTTTTCACATTTCTTTTTTTTTTCCTCTGAAAGATGGATGGAACCTTTTTAAAAACAAAGCAACCAAGAAGCTAGTTGCAGCTTTTCTGAATTAGGATCATTTACCTTCTTGCTTTTTGTCCACAGAGTGATGACAGATCGACCATCTCTCCCAGCTCACCTACCACTCAGACAGGTAACAGGGAAAGAAAGTCATGTCTGAAGAACAAGACTAAAATGCCTGCTTGCACACTTGTACCGTTAGAGCAGGGAGCATAGATTCCCACCCCTGTATGTGGCTCTGCTGTGTTTGAGAATCCATCCAGTTAATTGGATCTGTTTAGAAACAACAGCAGGGATGCAGCATGTCCYGAGGGAGAGCATAGGGTTGGGCTGTTTGAGGCCTTTATATAGGCTGTGTCCTACAGATGTGTTCAGCACCAGCTAGAACAGTTGCTGGAAGTGGTGTGTGGAATGTGCTTTGCATGCAAGTGTCCTCGGTAGTGCCTTTTCCTGCTCTGTGCTTGTATCATGCATGGCTGTAATTTATTTTGCCATTATTATGTTAAAGGTTTTTTTTTTGTTCTGTTTAATTACCACATTGCTGAACCCATTTCCTATTAAATTCTAACCGTTTCCTTCTTCCTCCTTTCCTTTCCTGTGCCCTTCCCCATTTGTTTAGCCCACCTTTCCCCTCCATATCCTGGCCCTACAGCCCCGCCTTCCTATAGAAACCCTCCCCAGCGACCTGAGAGTTTCCTTTTCCGGGCAGCTGTCAGGGATGAAGCAAAGAAAGGTAGGTTAATAGTTTAGAAACAACCTGCATTTGTTACACTACATTAACATCTGCGTTACCGAGGTCTTGCACTGTTCTGTTACTTCAGATCATTATCATTAAGTTTGAGATTTTCATTTATGGATAGCTGGCTTTAAATTGAAAATAATATTTTCCTAAACAAGCAATTATTTAGAAATGTCGAATAGTGCTTTGTCATGTTATATAAATGAGGAGGGTTATGTTTAGATTTGTTTATACAGAGAAAGATATTGAGGAAATGCCACACAAGGTTCCAAAATTATGAAGGCAGCTTGGCATGTTTAGTTGCATAGTATCCCATAATAAAATTACGATTTTTATAGGAAGACTGAGCTCTTTCAGCATGTTTCACCTTTTAGACAAAGAAGACTTTTTTTAATGATTATTAGTCAATGGGAAAAAAAAAAAAAAAAAAAAAAGCAGACTCTGAGTTTAGAAAGGAAGATCTATTCCAGAAACATTTCAGTAATATTAGTAGGTTGTTAGCTTGGTAGATGGATAATCCAGTAAAGGAAACAGATTTGTGAAAAGGAATGTGCTGTACCTGCCCTGGCATGTTGCGTGTGTGATACAGCAACAAAGGACCATCGGCCAAATGAAGCTTAGTGATTCTTCTTTCTTTGTGCTCCCCTTTTATAGCTGTTACTTCATCTTCCACCTGTGCCTTGTCTCCTGCTCATGATTCTGCAGACCCCAGAGCAAGACAGTACTCCAAACAGCGGGAGGAAGAGCTGGAGCTGATAGAGCAGCTGCGTAAGGTACGTGTGGGCAGCAACCAGCCCGTGGGCATCTTAGCAAATGTGTTGCATGCATCAGGCTAAAGCTGTTCTTGTGTCTGGACTTCTTTCAGTGAACCACTGCACTGAACAGCTGACTGAAATGAAATGGCAGCTGTGCAGGCTGAGTTTCTTTCAGATGGATGAAGTGGTGTTTACTTTGTTTTTTTTTTTCCACAGTGGATAGTCAGCTTTCAAATGCTGCAGAATATTCTGTGCTGACTCTTGCTCCTGACTGCCCAGTGGTTCTTCTCTTTTAAAATGAACATGTGCTTTCTTCCTTACCACCTTTCACGCTTGTAAGGAACTCTTTGGAAAGCCACCTCACTATATTTCTTTTAATCTCTTAAAAAAATCCCATAGCTGTAAAAGCCACAGAAGAACAGGTGGAATATTGAGGTTGCTGCCAGTCATAGTGACTGCGTGACTTTCTTGTGTGCTCTAGATCCATGTATTTGTTGAGTGCAGAATATCTGAGATGCAGATGTCCCTTACCCTTGTGCTTTTTGGCTATTGAGGTCACCAGGATCCTGGCTGGTGGCCAGGTACAATAGCAGTACAGATGAGTATTGAAAATGCTACATGTTAAAGTGCTGCTCTGCTTTGCTCCAGGCTTGTTTTGGGGATTTCCTGAAGGGCTTTAATTAACTGTTAGATCTTTCTCAAGAAATAAGACTTACAGCTTGTTAAAGGTGATTTTTAAAGTTGTGAATATTCCAGGTAGACTGAGAGGATTTCTTATCTTTATAATTAAAAAAAAAGAAGGCAATCTAGCAAGTTACCTTAAGAAAAACAAAATGGAAAAAAAAAGTCCTTGATGTTGTTTATAGTCTCTTTTTGCACTATCTCAGAATGTCTTTGCGTATATAGTTTTCTCTCCACTTCCTTTTTTTTATACTTAACAATCTTTGTATAGACAATGTAATTCCTATAGAATATGAAATGGGATGAAAACGTGAATTGAATTTTTATTCACCTTTCCGGTAACACCATACATCTACTAGCTCATTCTTTTATATTATTTATGCCTAGTAGTTCATTTCTTTCTTTACAAGAAAAAATGTTATCTTGGCTTTTGTTAGCTCTATTTTCCTCCAACCCGTGAAGACAATTATTTTCACTTCCCATAGTAGAACCATTTTCTGAGAATCTGAAGGATGTGGAATACTTTTCTTAGACCCTGATTTCCATTATGTTTCTACAATGACTATGTTAGACCCCTATGCTGTGCAATAAAAGCTCTGTTCATCTTTGAGTTCAGCTGCTCCTGAATTGTGATCACCTCTTAGCCATAGCGGTGCACAGAGCCTTTCTTGGTGGTATGCAGATATAAAGTGGTTTAGAAATCTGACAGAAATATGTCATGTAGATGGAGATAAGAGTTGAAATGCAGGTGATTTTACAAATTATAAAACGTTCAATAGAATGAAATACTTGGAGGAAAGCAGCTCTTACCTTCTGTGCACGTTCCTTTTCTCGCAGAACATCGAATCCCGCTTGAAGGTGTCATTGCCCAGTGATCTGGGAGCAGCTCTCACCGACGGTGTCGTTCTGTGCCACTTGGCTAATCACGTGCGTCCTCGATCCGTTCCCAGCATCCACGTCCCTTCCCCTGCCGTTGTAAGTATGCAGTGTTGATGGTATCATATAGCTGTCCAAAGTGACATCCAGCACATCAGGCAAGGGCTCCATTCAGCATCTTCCTCTGTCTATGAGGAGACCATCCCCCCCGACCAATAAACATCGAGCCCGTCTAAGCAAAAGACTTATCTTCATTTTAAAATGCATTTTGAGGTTGTATTTCAATTAAAGTTACTTTTAGCACAGATTTTTAAGACAATATTAACATTTTCAAGTCCTGCCTAAAAACAAGTAAAATAAGAGATGTCTCAACACACAAATGGCAAAAGGATACTTTAGAAGATAAGAGGTCTGCGAAGTTCAGGACAGTAGTTAGAATATACAGTATTCTCCACAGATGATTAGGAGCTTGTTACAGAAGATAGCCAGAACAGGCAGAGAATCCAAATTGATTCTTGTTTCCACTTTGCAGCTGTGTGCATTCCTCTGATTAGGGTTTTCAGCAGAGCACACTTGAGCTGCCTTTGCATGTGCTTGGAGAATTCCCAGAACAAAGCAGATCCAGTCATACCCGTGTGGTAACAGGAAAAATAGCTTTGTGTGTGGGGATAGGAATCTTATTTGCTGTCGACGCAAGGAAGAACACAGAGAAGTTAGAAAGTTGGGAAGTTATTTCTCTTACCTTGACTATCTGCAGTTTTGCATGGGGGGGAGCAGTGAAGATGATGTAATTCTGGATGCATTGTTGTGCATCATGTAAGGAAAGCCCAGAATTAGAGAAAGATGGAGAACCATGAAGTATTTGCCTAATCTATCAACAGGATAAATTCTTTCTGGTTTTGGCAGCCAAAAAGCTCAGTGAAAATATTTAAGGTCAGCTACTCAAAAGCAGCAGAGAGACAAATTGCTTGTTACACTCATTCACATTATCTTAAAGTTGTATGAATAAGGAAGGGGAAAAAAGCAAAGCTGTTCCTGGGGGAAGAAGTTAAAACATGCATGTTTGCATTTCAGTATTTTGGCCTCGGTCCTTATGTCAGTGGAATTTGAACTGGCACTTAAGAGGGCTGCATACTGTATCATTGTGGCTCCTTTCCCTTGGGCTTTTGTGAAGAGGCAGATGTCCTCATTATTTTGAGAACTATTTAACTGGACACGCCAACATTTTAGGCAGAATGTGGACTCTTCAAGGAAGAAAAAAAAACATACAGACACTATTCAGCAGATTCCTGTTATAAAGAATATCTTTTCAATGGCCTAGTTTTATGTGCTGTTGGAATAATCTGTGTTACGAGGTAAATCATGGCTTTGCCATAAATCTCTAGGAAAAGGCAGCCTGTAGCTGCACAGCTCCAGCAACAGAAGAGACATCTTGTCATGCCACGGTCCACAATGTGATCTTTGTATTCCCTTCATCCTCCGAGAGAAAGAAGTCAGCACTAGCCTTTAACCTGCTTTCTTGGTGGAGTGATAAGGCAAACTGAGGGGGCAGAACAGAAGGAGAAGCTCTTCCTCACTAACTGGAAAGTACTGAACCCACAGAGGCTGCTGTGCAGACTGCAGGTGCCTCGTACAAAGGAACAGGAACCCTATGTCTCCTTAATAAGGACAGAACAGGCTTGAAGAGTAGCAGCAAGACAGAGCCTGTGCAGCAGCGTGTCTGTGTAGAGGTGTAAAAGTTAACTATGTGGTGGGGGGGGGGGGAAATTCCTGAAAAAATGCCAGTGAACCCAATTGAAACAGCCACATCAAACACATCTGCAAGAAGCTTACAAGCAGCAGCTTTCAATTCCGGTTTTCCTTGCATATTTTCTGGTTTCATCTGGCCTCTTTTAATCTCTTTGCTAATTAAAATATGGTTTGAAATATTTCTAAAATATAGCAATCCAGAACAGACTTCAGATTGCTTTGTATCAAGAAATTTCTTTGAAATCCCAATACTTGGAGTTATGCACATGCATTTCATTCAAATAGATTTTTAAATTAGCATATTGCAGCCACTGCAGGTGTTAGCCTGTTTTAGTTAAAACTTGGCATGCAAATTTTGCAGGGGTTGGGATTCTTTTCATTATAACATCCTTCTTAATATTTTTTAAATTAGTTCTGAAATCTGGGCTTATATCTCTAAAGAAAACCAAGTACAACACAGCCTGGTTTCAATTAGACAAGCTTATTTCATTGTGGTGTGCTTTTGGCCGACAGATTTATTAAGGGTTTTATTGACATAGAAAATGAAAATGTGAATATCCGGTCAATTAAGAACCCCTTATACCTTCCTGCTCTCCTCCTTTGCAGCCTAAACTTACAATGGCAAAATGCAGACGAAACGTGGAGAATTTTTTGGATGCTTGCAGAAGGATTGGAGTGCCTCAGGTACGTACTTCTGCTGTTGTCATATTGTTTCAGATGCAGTTCTGTATGATGCTTCGGAAAAACAGAATCTTTTTTGAGAGAGTTTTGATGGAAACCTTCAGAAAAGGGACAGGTATAAGGTACATCTTACTGTATAGGTCACATTTGGTTTGCATGCTCTTCCAGGGCAAAATGAAGTCAGATGCAATTCATTTGTCATAGATCTGATTCATTTACTGCTCTCCTTCATATCATGATACTGGATGCAGTTTGAATCTGCTCTGTAGAATCGTAGTGCACTTCTACAGATACATTCACATTTTCTGGAGATCCAATATTTAGTAGCTTAAAAGAGCGATAAAATTTGGATAACATTTCACATATTTAATCCCAAAGTCTTGATGTGCCTTCATAATAATCCTCCCATGTGAACATTTTTATTGCCTTGCCAATAAGCCATAGTATTATTTGCTTTTCTCTGATGGTAGCTATCTTTGCATAGATCCTAATTCTTTGTGTTATGAACCAGTGGTAGCAATCCAGTATCTTCTGGTGTTCCCCTTCCCCTTCTCAAACTGGAAGAGCTATGAAGTGGAAACATGAAATAACATATTGGAGTCCAGCTATCCTGTTTCATGCTGTCCTGTCCTTTCCCCTTTGCTTTATTTAGCAGCTATCTCAGTGTAAATGGTTTTGATACATGTTCTTGTTCTGCTTTATTTTTCTTCTAGAGCATTAATTGTCAAAGTTTCTGTTGTAGGGCCTGTGTTCTTTCTTTTGCTTTGTTAAAGGGAAAAGTAGACCCAGTGACTCATTACCCAACACCTCTGAGAGCTGTGCTCTTTAGTCACCAGTGCAGTGTGTTCCGGGGTTGTCCCCCATAGCTTCACTTGCAGGCAGGTTTTGAGCCACTGGAAATGTAGGGTAGCCCATTTACAGAGCAGCCCAGCCTCTTCACATGACACAGTGGTGCACGACATTGGAGCGTGGTAGGGGACGTGAGCAGAAGTGTTTTGAGGTGCCACATTCGGTCCTCGCTCAGCCTTTTACTTCTGGCAGGGCTGCATAGCAAATTTTTCTGAAGTAAACTCAGCTCAATTCCATCCCAGCCCCCAGTTTATAGCTCCCTTGGATACACAGATGTAATTGTTTATGGCATTGCACTGCAAAGCAGATCACTGAAATGACCTACATTGTAAAACAAACAAGAGAAAATGTCTCAGCAAGAAGTACCCTTAGACTCACTGTGCTACATCTGTCTTGGTTTCATACAAACTCACCTCCTACCTAGGAACCTTTTTTTTTTTTTTTTTTTTTTTTTCCATTTCTCCTGCTTGAATCTGAAAAAAGTTCAAGGCAAATGCCTCTGGGGAAACCTACCGAAACCCCCACGTGAACCCTAAATTTGCTCTCACATGTCTACATTACGTGTCTACTGAGATGAGAAGGCAAGATATCTGTATGAAAGAATGTCATGGCAGCCTAATATATTTTTGCTAAAAGATGCCTGCAGGTATCTCCTTTCATTTAAATTCTAATTACAAATAGAAAGGGCTTATCAAATTATGGATCTATGTAGAAATACTTACCTTCTAAGAGAACAGGCCATTTTGTGCAAGAAGCTACTTTTAGAAAATGTTAATTACAGGCAGAGCTGCCCTCCTGGTCCAGCACCACAATAGAGCAGCTGCTTGTATAGGGCTTTGCCAGGAGAGCCCTTGCATCAAAAGAAACCAGTGGTTAAAAGACTATGGTAAATGTGCTTCTAGATTTTGTTGATGTACATAGTTACCTCTGTGTAAGGAAGGCAAAAGATATACTGGTAATAGTTACAGAGCACTTAAACTTTGATTAATATTAGATATTCCTGCAGGATGCTGCACTCAAGCATCAATTACACATCAATAATCCCTTGTTGTACTGTTTCCATTAATTGTGTGTAACGTTGGTGAGCACTCGGTGCCAAAGCATCTCTAAATCCTGTAGCTAATTTATTTCCCATGAAACAAAACTGGTTTTCACTAAGGCCTGTGTAAGCCGCTTATTTTTTTAACAGCAGCAGATTTTTACATGTGTAAGTTGTACACAACAGGCAACACACTGACCACTGAACACTTGCAGGAAGATAGTTCCCTGGAATGACAGTCTTGCAAATTCCTTTGTGAGAATTAACCAGCTGTGATGCACTCCTTGAATGTGTAGGGTATATCTGAGATGTCTGATGACTGACCGCTTCGTGGATGTTAGTATGGCTAATTAATTTTTTTTTTTTCTGTCTGTTTTCCCTTCCTGCTCACACACTTTGGACAGGACAATCTTTGTTCCCCTTCTGACATTCTTCAGCTAAACCTCAGCGTTAAAAGAACAGTTGAGACTCTTCTTTCCCTGGGGACAGATTCAGAAGAATCCACCCTTGTCTCCCTTTCCATTCAGCTTTGGGGCTTTGTGGTGTTTTACTGTACTCTAATGCTAACACTCTGTATGTTCTATCGCTGGGTCTTTTTCCTCTAGCTGAAAGATGGTTTTGCTTCTCCCTCCCTCCGTCACTCCAGTGCTTGGTAAAGGATTTTGGTTTGTGTCAAGACTGTGTGTATGAAGCGCTTTCTTTTCCACGTAGGGGACAGAGGTGACAGGTACAGTGCATAAACATGTTGTACACCCATGTACCTGTGGCATAATTCACATTCATACCTGCTGTGTGATATTGAGCAGATAAAACACTGGGGGAAGGTGCTGTCTGCAGCTAGAGCAAGGGACTGAGCTGAGGACGTGTGGGTGTGATGGGGGAATGTGCCCCCATTTCCCCATCTGTGAAACGGGAATTGCACCCACTCTGATGCATTTCTTCAAGCTGATCTGATGACAAATATTAGAAAAGGAGGCAAAATTTTCCTCATTTTTTTGCATCTTGTTGCTCTGATGAGCTCCCCCGGGCTTAGGAGACATGGTCAGATAAGTTTGTCTGCAGGGCCTTGCCATTTTTTGTTTTCTTACCATGCTGCTTTATCCTGCATTTGAGAGTATTTGGTTTCTCACCTTTGCAGACCCCAGATATGTTACTTTTCAGTCAGGATTTTTAAACTAGCTGTGAATCCTGAGCTGCTTCAACGGATCAAGGAAGAAATTTTCGGAGAATTTTAGCTGTTCACTCAGCTTTGAGGGGAGGAAGATGCAGGAGAATCTGATCTAGAGGAAAAATCATTAATATTCTGTCAGATCCCAGAGAATATTGTAGCAATTTACTGTGGTCTTGATTAACGACTTGAAAAAAAACAACAAAAACTCCTGAATTACCACTTGATTGTGGATGCCCTAACTCATACTTATTCCATAACCCTGCTTTACCTTTGCATTTTCAAAACAATTTTGCAATGTGTGATTGCAGAGATAGAAGCCCTGCCTGCGCATCCACACTTCACTGTTTTGCAAAACTCAGGGAGTCTGACGTAAAGCTTCAAGCTTTTCCCTCCCCGTTGTGTCCTGGTGCTTTAATGTATTTCTCAGGGACACCCCAGAACTTCAGGGCACCCCTAACGTCACGTGCAAAAGACCATGTCTCCTCAGAGCACGGCGCAGTTCAGGGTCCAGGGCCCGGCCACAGGTAAGTGTTAAGTAGTGCAGTGGTCTGAGAGTGTTTTCAATAAATTACTTGCATCTGAAGATACACTAAGCAGCTCCTAAACCCAGTTTAGGTGGTGTCAGGACTCCAGCATTAACCTGGCAGCAACTCTAAAGTCCAGCTTAAGATACACAGGAGCTTAGTTGCCAATGCTGCTGGTAAAAATACATGTTCTATGCACGTGGACCTCACCAGCCACGTAAAACAGATATTTAACCAAGGAGTGAGCAGAGGAGTCGAGTCCTGCTTGCTAAATCACACACTGTGACTGACACAAAACGTCCCGTCCAAGCCAAACATTTTTGAGGAGAGGAGGAGATCTCTGGCAGGATTGCGTTTGGTTTATTTTTAAATAAGCTATTTTTGCACTGTTTACTGATATGAACTAAAATGAACTCAGTTCCTATGTTTCTTAACCTCTTCTAATAAACACTGTGATAAAAGCAGCAAGGGTGAACCTTGGCCCTAACAGTGCCTTCCACTTCTTGTATTTGATTTTGTCGTGACTGTCTCTGCTGTGAAGTCATTCCAAAGCTTTTCCCCTTATCTGTTTACTACTTAAGTAAAAAGATAAGATCTATATAGTCAAGTTTACAGGGGTTTTCTCAAAAAGCACATTTTTTTTTTTCAAAATAACATCAGTAAAAGTGACAGAAGAAAAAGATATTTCAGCCTGATGCTCTGTCTTAACCGTGAGGGTTTCAGTCTGGGTTAATTTGGTGTTTCTCCACTCTGAGCTTTGTGTGAACAGTGTTGGCTGCCATCACTTGTGCTAAAGCTTTTCTTTTACGTGAATGGTCTGTAATGGTACAAGGAGGGAGAAAATGCTCAATCCTGTGGGAATAGCACATGAGGGAAAAAACAAAATCTCTGTAGCTTTATAGGGAGGACAAATTTGGGTATTGATTAGAGATGCGGAGGTCTGTTGGCACCCAGATCCTGTCTGGGGCTGAGTGTGGTGGAGTGAGGAGGGCCAAGGCCTTGTGCAGGCTTGGAAGTCATCGTAGACTGAAAATAGCACAATTCTTAATAAACAGTTTGAAAACTCTGTAGTTTGTGTATCCATGTTATTCCTCTGTATGATTTTTGAGTTTTTGTTAAACAGGGGAACTTGGGAAAGACGAGTAAGTTGTACTGACCCTTAAATATTATAGGAGGGCTCTGCCTTTAAATACGCTGTCAACTTATTGTTGCCTTGAATAGGAGAAACAGCCTTTTCTACAGTCATTATCAAGGTCATTTCAGTCAGACACAAAGGAAGACTCTTTTACCTGTTGTTAGTTCTTTCATAAACAACTTGTAGTGATAGAAATCAGATCATACCAATGGACCAAAGGACCTCCCATGGACAGAGTGTCTTACAATGAGAATTTGAGTTGTTCTTCATTGTAATGTTTCCCCTATTGCCCTTTTGCACAGCATTTCTGTCGCACATGGTGCTACCTCATTCTCTGCTTTAAAAGCAGCTCTCTGTTTTCAATAACAGGATTTGCTGCATGAGGGCTCCCTCTAAACCATTTGTCTTGTGGGAGGGTCCTTCCCTACTGTGTCCATTGCAGCTGGTTCTTACGTTGAACCAACACTTCCCCCCTTCATAAGTTAGTCTAATTTGGGTTTCATCAACTGCCACCATTTTAGTGTGGGTGAAGACAGAGGGCAATATGTTATTTTTCCACTTCTCCACAAGTACTTTTTTTTGGTTTTTAAATTCTCCTTATTTATACTTATTTTCTATGTGATGGCTGATATTGTAAACACAGTGATTGTCCTAAAGCTTCCTCTTTTGGTAGTCACATTTACAGTTCTTTATTCACAAGCAGAAATTTCACTTCGTTCTCCTGTGTGTGTGTGTCTTAGCTGTCCATAACATTTCATATTTCAGTCTTTTTGCTTATTTTTTTTTCTTTTCAGTTGAGTGTTCATCCATTTTGTTTTTTGTCTTTGTTTTGTTCCCCATTCAGGAGCAATTATGTTTGCCTCTACATATTTTAGAAGAGAAGGGTTTGACACAGGTAGCTGTGACTGTCCAGGCGCTCCTGGAGCTGGCACCCCCAAAGCAGCAGCCACTTCACCACTTGTCTGCTGTGTAGAGACCTCCGGGACCTTTTGGGTTGCCTTGGCTAAGAGAAGGACGTGAAGACGTTACTGCCCGTGCAGTGCATCCCAACACACAGAGCTCCCTTCTAAGGAAATGAGTTGCCATGATTCCTGACAGGAATGTCTTGCTTCGTTGCTCCACTTTTTTTGGAGAACACAACAGTTTCCAGTAACGGGAGGCTTTTCTTATCAATCATTTTTGCCCCTTGTAAAACCAAGTTTATTGGGAGGAGGGCAGGGAGTTCCGCTGAACGATGGTTGGAGCCAACTGTAGAAACTTGACCTTGTAGATTGAAGACATGGGTGTACAGTTTGGAAAATGAGATGATCCCTAAGGGGATCCATTTATTACAGGGATGGTTTGCAGTGGGCACATGGGGAACAAGACTTATTTTTTCCCTTCCCCACAGGGTTCAAAGAAAGGGAGGGTTTTTGCCTCTTTTTCCATTATAATAACGATTATAGGGTAAGATTGTGTTGGCGGAAGCCAGACCAGTTCCATTTGTATTGAACACATTAGCATTCTTGATGGGTTTACTTTTTGTTTGGGTTTTAATAGGTTTTGGGCATCTTTTCCAACATCAGTGGAGGAAATCTCCCTTCTACCTCCTCTCACCTCCTTGCAATCACATAAGGATGCACTTAGTTACTGCACGGTTTTGTCGAGGATGACTAAATGTCATCAATAATCATGTACCTGTTTGCACTGCAGTGCAAAGAGTTGCTGCCTGCTGTGCTGATCTTAGAAGCCCTTTATTAGTCAGAACTTTTAGCAGGGTTGGAGCCTCCTATGCAGTCACGCTAACACTGGTGAATGTCCCAGCTGCTGAAAAATGAATGATTTGGGGAACATAATTACTGAATTTGCACAGGTAGGTTGCACGTTATCCAAGCAGCAAGCTGTTGCAACAGGTAGGTTTGGCAGGGCTTTAAGAAAAGCCTTTTTTCGTTAGGGTTACAATAAAGAGATGCACACGTTTCATAGAAGTACACAACTTCACTCTTCTTTCCTTAGCCAAAAACAGATGCTGAAAATACAGGAAGGGCAGAGACACTAGCCAAGTTCTGCGCTTTGCTTTAAAGCCAACCTGCAAAACAAGGACTCGGTTTCTGTGCTTTAGTCCCAAGGACTAGGCCAGGTTTATTACCACACGGGTAACTATTTTTCTTCTTCCCAAGACCTTGCAGAATCCGGCTCTCTACACGTGCTGTTCTTCTGTTAGCTTCTGGTCTGTTTAAAACGCCCCAGAATATTGCACTGCAAATACCATGTAGAGCATGGAGTCCCAGAGCAGCCTCAAGGCCTGCAGATAGTCCATCAAGTGATGTATTTGAGCCAGAATTTACCAAGAAGGTTTCATGGGGATGAAGAAAGGAGAAGAAATAGGAAAATGTTAACTAAAAGTCACCTTTTTTGCAGTAATGCTGCTCTGGGAACACTGGCCAGAACTGGTCTCAGCTGGACTTTTCCCCCTTTAATTTCCCCCTTTAATTTTAATTTTTGTAGTTTGGCTCCTGCCGTTCTGCTTCATGCAAGTCCCAAGGTCCAGTGCAGTGACTGCTCTGCCCTGTTCTTGTAGTGGTTCCAGCTGCTGCTCATTGGCATTGACTGGCCACACTGCAAGGGCAAAGGAGCACGTGAAGGGTGTTCAGAGCTGGGCACCTGGAGATAAGAAACTTCATTTTCCTGGTGGGTAAGGGGTTGTCCTGAACTCTTCAAAACCTGTATACGCCAATAACTTGCACTAAGGGGAGGAAAGCAGAGGACTCTGCTCTCCAGACTGGCGGCACAGAGCAGGCGTTTCTGGCACCAGGTTTGAGAGAGGACACCGCGTTTATCTTAGTGTCCAACGTCAGGCCATTTGTGCCAAACGTGGGCACGTGACTGCAGAAGCTCCTCGTCCCTAGACTACTTGTGTGTCATTTGAGGAAGACGGTTCCCTGGTAGGTTTGCAGGGCCCTGCTGTTTGCTCCAGCCCAGCTTCCAGCACCCGTAGAAAGGGAGACGCAGCAGTGGTCGGGGGGTGGAGGCTGTGTCATTAATACCCAGTGATGTGTCTTTAATACCTGGTTTTAGGAATTAACGGGCTGGGTGGGCAGTTGAATCCGGGCTTCAGGAATATCACTTACTACGAGCTATCACTTGAGTCGTTCCTGGCGCCCGCGCGCTCTGCAGGTTCTGGTGTATGCTGGTCGTGTTACTGTCACTTCTGTAATTTGTATTTTCATGCCAAATCTTGACCAGATGTTTAGGAGAAAAATCTAAGCCTTAAGGTTTCACCACGTGGCTTATTTAATGTATTACAGCCAAACCACTCCAGTTCTCTTTCACAATGCAGTGGGTTGGGATTTGTTGGGGGCATTGGCGTGCAATGTTTGTTTTCTCCACTGAAAAGAATATTTTCAAGAGCACGTATGAGATTTTGTGTATCAAAGCGAGAGGCAGTTTTGTCTTTCCTTTCTGGGGCATTTGTGTTGGAGGGCGAAATCCAGGCGTGTGGCTGGTGTTGGTGTTTATGGAGTACCTCCAACGTGTCACCGTCCTTCCTTACGTGAAGTCCAGCACCCAACAGCATCTGAGGCTTCAGCAGAGTCACGGAATGGACATCGGCAGCACCGGCACTCGGGCTCCTTGGGAGCCTTGGAAAGATCAGGTCAGAACAGCGGGAGTTGCTGCTCCCCCGTGTGAAGGGGAAGTGTTTTCTGAGGCCTCTGCTTTGGTGGCCTGGTTAAAATAAATGGGAAACGACTTTCTGCAGTGCTGGGAACATCTCGGTTGTTCTCCATAGTGACATGACGAGTGGTATTTTTAGACTTTTATGACTATAAATGGTTCTTTGAAAACTTTTTAGAAGCAGAGGACTTCCAAGGACATTGAAAACAATCATTTGTATAGATATTGTGGTGTTTTACAAAGTGTTCTAATGTTGTTATTTCTGAAAACAGTGTAAACGTGTAATTAATGGAGTAAAGGATTTTAAAGCTTCATCCCATGCTGTATGTCTGTAAATACATTCCATAATTTCTAAGTCTGTTAAGTATAAATATGTCTGAAATTTGTATACTTTATTTTAAATTGCCTGTATTCTGCCAGTAGTGTGACCTCCTAGCACATGGATAATATAAAAGAAAACCAAGGGTAATTTGAAATAAAGTTTTAAAACCTCCATTAATTGCAGTGTTTCTCCCAGGTATTTTTCTGCTCATGGGTGAATGTCCCACCTGCATGGCCTCACGTGATGGCTGATAGACCTGGCCAGTTTCTGAATGTTTCTTAGCTAAGTTGGGTCCAAATTCTGCTGGGTTTAGGTGCATTCTGCAGACGCTTCAGGCTTGCATTTTAACCCCGCTCCCCGTGAGCAGCGCAGCCTCCCGTTCAGATGCAGTTTGCTGCTGCCAGGCCTGGTACCCCCCAGTTCTCGTGTTCTGCTTGGGCTCAGTCCATACAATTTGCCCCCTGCTTCAAGCCCCATGGTGTTGGAAAGCCATGCRTGTAGCCAAGTATTTCTAGTCCTCATCCAAATACTTGTTCCTCTTTTCTTGACGTGCTTCAGATTACAGCTTTTTGGTTTATCACTCTTACGTGCCTAGAATTTATGATACAAGAAGTGGAGATTTGCTGTTCCTCCCCTAAAGAGCTGTCTGAAGAGCTGAGGATCCAACTTYACTCCCTCCACAGCAGGTCACCTGCTGCCACCCACCACGTATGGCCCGTATTAATCATAAATGAAACACGTCAAGAAAAGGAAGTGTTAAATGAGGACGTTGTCGCCAGCGGTTGCGGAGGCGCCTGCTGCAACACGGCGTGTGACGACGCGGGTGCTGCGAGCGGCAGCCAGGAGTAAACCCCCTTGTTCCTGCAATTCAGGGACATTGGGAACAAGTGAATGTGTTTCCCGTGGTAGGATCAGCATCCTGCACAGGCTGATCTAGGCTTCCCMACGTTGTTCCTGGGGTAACAGGCTCCTGACCCCTCTTTGCTTCCCTCTGCCTCCCTGCAGTTCCCTTCCCTGCAAGGAAAGCAGTGTTGCTGCAGCACAAAACGGCGTCGCCCTCTTTGAGTTTGCTGAAGCTTCCCCTTAACAGCATCCTCACAATCGGAGTTCCTCGAAGAGCCCAAGCTCTGCTTTGTGCTTTATTTTGACCCGTAGGACACACGGGCCACAGCCTTGGAGCAGCCCCGGTGCCAGCTTTCATTGTTCATCGCTTCTTCTTCTTTATTTTGTATTTGTCCTTTTTCCCTTTGCCTTTCTCTGGCAGCTGCTTCTCGAGAGTCTCCTTGAGGTCCTTGTAGCAGCCCAGGTTTCTGCGGACCATCGTGCCCCTCCACCAGGCCTGCAGCTGCGAGGAGAGACAAAGGAAGGTCTCGCTCGGGTCTCCCTCACGTGGCCGCTGGCCTTGCAGCAGCAGGAGGGGACAGGCTTTACCCATCCCTTGCTGGCGCCACCAACACCAGCCACTTTGGGGGTGTTTTCTAACTCAGTAGAGCCCGTGGTGAAGGTGACACCCCCGGCTGCTGCTGGGGCACCGCCGCCCCCGCCCGGCTCCCGTTACCTTCAGGATGCTCTTCAGCTCCAGCGCGTCCTGCTCCTGCTGCCTCCTGGCAGCCTCCTTCTCCACGCGGTCGCTGATGATGACCTCCTCGAACATCTGGCACTGGAGGGCAGCRCAGGGGCTCAGCGGGCACCCGGCAGGGTGGGACACGCGGGCGCCCTGGTGCCCAGAGCCTCCCCCTGGCTGCCTCTGCTCCCATCCCTGCCACCCGCCCGCCAGGCCCGGCCAGGACCCCTGCCCAGGTCCCCACCGCGGGCCCCAGCGCTCAGCGGCAGCCGAAGGCTCAAGCACAAACCTCAGGCCTGCCCCCCAGCTCCTGCCCTTTGGTCCTCCCTGAGCCCAGCTGGCCAATGTTGCTGGTTGTCCGCGTCCTGACACCCCAGGCCAATGCAGCAAACACTTGGGACACSAAGGTGACTTTGCGGGGGGTCGAAGATGAGCCCCCAAGCAGGGAAATTCCAACTCCCTCCCAGCATCTCCGGCACAGTGCCAGAGTTTCAATGCCCATTAACCACCGGTCACAGCCCTGCAGAGCTGGAGTCCTCGGGAAACGCCACCATCCTTCCGTGATACTACAGGTACCAAGTGGGAGATTCCTAGTCAATGATCACTACCTCAGGACCAGTCTTTGTTATTTGCTCCTACACTACTAGGTTATTGAAATATCTTTTTCCCCCATGGTCCTGGATGTTACCTGAATGAAGAGAAGGAGGGTAGGAATAGAAGCGGGTGCAGTTTTGCAGGAGCACTGAGCTGCCACCAGGGTCCTACCTCGCTAGCCAGTCTCTGCAGCGTTTCCAAGTTGCTCGCCTTCGATTCTTTCAGGGCGTTCAGTTCTTGCTCTTTAGCTTCTGTGTCCTTTTCATACTTGTCCATCCAGTATTCCAGCTTCTCCTCCACCTTCTGCTCAGAGACAGAGGAGCTCAGCATGGAGCAGGGAAGGCACCCGGGATGGGTGCCCTAGTGACAGCTGGCCTGGTTTCAGGATGGTGGTGAGCAGGACGCACACTTAATGTGTCCTCCTAAGCCTTGATCAAAGCCCTAGGACCAGGGATGAGTTAGTGATGGGTTAGAGGGGTTAGAGACCCTCGCTGGGGTCACCTTGGGAGCCAAAGCACTKACGTGGGATGGAGATGGGGTTGGGCTTTCAGAGTTGCACGAAGAATGGTGAAATACTAGGGGCTGGGTTTGTGCACAGTCAATAAACAACAACTAGAGCAAYAAACCAACAACTAGAAGCCATTCTGTGTGTGTGTGTCGGTGTGTGCATCCTGGGAGAGAGTTTAGAAAGAGATCTGGACAGCAAGGAAACTTTGTATGACTCCCTGGCAACTCTATGAATTAAATTCAGCCCACTGAGGATAAGGTACGAGGGACTATGATGTTGGCTTTGGCTCAGCTGCGAACAGGAGAGCAAGCGTTTCCACAACGGCCACGCGGAGGATTTCCTCCCATTTGTGCATCACTTCTCCATAGAATACTAGACATTCTTTAGCAGCACAAGCTTGCTTTCAGCYGTATGTTTTGTGAGCTGCTTACCAGAATTACAGAATTTGCTGTTACGGATGCTGCTCTTCAATGACAGGAAAATAGCCTGARCCTTTGGATCAAGAGCACAAAGTCGTGCTTGGTTGTTTGCAGCTGAWGTCTGAGGGAATAACTGTGACTTGGCAAGTGAGCAGCCCTGTTTCCTTCCCAGCTTAAAATAAGGCAGTGTTGGGTGGGCAGTTTCTGTCACTTCCTTCTCAGTGCCCCCTGTTTTCAGCGCTTGGGTCTGTGAAGCTGTTGCCTTGACTTTGTGCAGCAACCCCTGGCTCCCTGACAGTCCCAGCGACTGCAGAGGAAGCACTAACCAAAATCCCAGTTATCTGAATACCTCCATGTGGGGGAGGGAAAATCCAAAACACCTGACTAAACAAAACTAATCGCTATATGATTTATAATTTATAGGAAACATACTCATGGAAACAGATCCCAAAATTGAGTGTCAGTTAAGAGCTGAGGGCAAGTAGTAATTCTAATAGCTGCAATCATGAACCTAGTAGCTTTGATGGAGCATTAGCTGGTTTTCTTTAGACCCTAATTGATGCTGTGATTTGTATTGGAGGCTCTTCCAAGCAGGAGGAGGAAACAGCCGCACGTACCATCTGCTGTTGCCTGAGGAAATTCTCCATCTCCTCGTGCACTCGGATCTCCTCGTCAGTTCTGCTCCTCAGCTTCTGGGACAGAGCACAGAGAGACACCGTTAGACCCAGGGTTAGTCRGACCCGGAGTTAGAGACACCATTACTGCGGTCCAGGAGTCTTCCCTGGTGACAAAAGGGCTCCCTGCCCCCGGCCCATCCTGGAAAACGGGCCAAGGAGATCAGAACTTCATTAGTCCAAAAAGGACTTGTGCAAAAACAGGGAAGTTTTCTAGTCCTGTTCACTTTGTGGCTACACAAGGAGCTCTGCTGGCATCGTGTGCGGGGCAGTTCTGGGAACTGCTTATGCTGCTACACRAATAGTCTGGCAAGTTCAGCCCTTGGACACGGTGCCCCGAATGTTTCTTTTGACAAGTGCAAGTTTAAGCAGTCGCTGTCTCCTGCAGCGCTGCCATGTGCACAGGCCAGGCTGTCTGCAGAGCCCTGCAGGGAAGCAGGGTTGTTATTTCTAACCTGGAAGAGCTTCCTGATGCAGTTCAGAGCAGTCACCATCACTGGTGACTGTGACGGACAACAGAAAGGGCATCTGGGGACACAGGGAAGACTCGGCCTGCTTATCTCAGCAGGTAACTAAACGTACATGAAATGCTCATAATTCACACACATGCGAGGGATGGGAAGTGGCCCCACCATCCTGCTTCCTGCCATGGCACTTCCCCCTGTGAGGTTTTAAAATGGAAGTGGAGCATGAATTTTCATCACGAAAACAAACAAACTAAACAGAATAGGAAGAGAACCTTTATATATATATATAWAAAAAATCTGGATTACCTTAAATCACCCTTTAAAAGAACAACACAAAAAGCAGGCTGCTGGGGCTCATTTTCCCTGTCTGGGGCCTGCTTACCGCAGTCTCCTTGTCCAGGTCCCTCTCTGCATTGCTGCACTTCTTGCGGGTTTGCTGCACCTGCAGCTCTGTGTTTTTCCTCACRTAGCTGCTCTCCATGTCTGTTTTGGCCTTCATTTCTTGGAGCTGGTCACTGAGGAAGGCAATTACGTTATCTCGTTCCTAATGGAGGGGACAGAAGAAGCACAAAAGCAGCTCTGGAGCCTGAGCCCAGACACCATCCCTTGTCCTCTCTGCTCCCTCATAAACCCATCCGGAAGAGCCAAAGGGTGCAGACTTCCCATTTTCCCTGAGGGAGCAATAAACCCATCAGCGAGGAGCGATGGCCTCTGAAAAAGAAGGAATGATGAACAGAGTGACACACGAAACCTCTCACCTCTGGCCCTGGCACAGATTTAAAGTTGTGCTTCATATGAAATAACTAAATAAATGACCCCATGGGAGCAGTCCCACAGTTTCAGTCGCCTAACGCTGGGCTTTGCACCGGGCTGTCTCTTTGGGCTCAGGCTTGTCACAGGTGTCTGTAACAGGAAGGTGATTCCTCAGTCCTGGCTGTGCCTGACTGTTTGATTTCCCGAAATACGCTCCATTCTTTGGATTTGTTTTTTCCTAGTTATGCACCAACTGCATAAGCACAGACTTAGGAGCAGGTGAAATGCTAGTCTCAGCTTGCTCGTATGTGTGAACTGTTCTTAATTGCAGTCTAATCAGATAGATAGAGCCCATTTCGTTACAAAGACCTATGCCCAGCACCAGCAAGGGGAACCAAAGGAGAAGGTGGCTCTGAGCCTCTCCTGCACTTTGTTTGCAATGGAGCTGAGGTCTCCTTGGACATTCCCATCCCGGGAGCAACCCCACAGTGCTGAGTGCCTCTCTGTCACACTCTTTTGCAGGAAGCAAAATGCATTTGCTCTTTTTTGGGTTGTTTTGTTTACTCCCTTTTAATAACTTCGAATAACAGAGAAAAGTCCATTGATGTAGGACTGGACCTGTGAGGAACTGCCTCTAAAACGAACAATACAGACTTTGCATTGAGCTGCAAGGTCCTCGAGCTCTCCTGTGCAGTCACACAAGCCCCATGCCCACGCAGGGCACCGCGCTCCGTCCCCGCCGCCCCTCTGCTTTCCTGTCGGGCCATGGATGACGAGCTCGCTGCTCAGGAGCTGAGGATGAAACACCAAAGGGCTGGCGCTTTAAGTGTTGTGAAACCCACGTATCCCGTCTCTTGAAGCCACCCTTGCATTCCTTAGCTGTGTAAACATGGAAAAAAGCCACAGGAGAAAGCCAGCTCCACAGGGCTGTGTTTAAAAGCCAGTGCAGCGTGACTCATTTGGAGAAGATTCCTTTTAAGAGGAGTTTGGAGCGGTTGAAGGGAAAATCCTTCCCCCTGCACCCCTTGTCGGACATAGTTAGGAAGAGCAAAAGCTACTTACAGGACTCAGGACAACCACGGCCCTTGGCTCAGGTTGTTTTGTGGGTTAAAAAGTCAGGTGGCCGCCTTTTTTCTAAGGTTTCCAGGATCAGATATTATTTTACAACCCTAACATCCTATGACTGCAGACAAGCTGTGGACACGACTTGTTTATGCCCCATTTCTCTGGTAATGGCCTATTTTTTCCCGTGGTGTGAGATGTAGGTGGGGTGAAGGGAAGGGATCAGATCAGAAGGGATCAGATCCTGCCTGGGGATGGAGTCTCCTCTAAAACAAGCTGGCAAAAACCAGGGAGATGCCCATGAAAAACAKGGTATTTCTGTGGTGCTGAAGCTCGACAAAGCCAAGGCTGTCACCCGCTACTGCTGCCCACAAGGATGGGAGAACAGGTCAAAAAATAAGTGCTCAAGCCCATCTACCACCTCCTCGCGTATGAGAGCGGGGGGGACGGGGCATGAAAACGTCACCAGGTTGTTTTCTTTCTCATTTCACATTTTGATAAAGTAGAGGGAAAAGCAAAGTGCAGTTCGGAAGGGATGCAAAGCGCAAAGCCCCACTGGTGGATTTGGGAAAGCTGTTTCACTTGGAGAGGGCAAGGCAGCTGCAGGCAGGGGTGGGAGCAGCTCCCGCAGCCCAGCTGAGGCCGCTGCACAACTCGGGCACCTGTGATCCTGGGCTGGCAATAAACAGAGCTGCCCAAGGCCTGGGGGCACTGTGTGTGGAGCAGGCTGGTCCCTGAGCTCTGGGGGTAGGAAAAGCAGGCAATGTTTATTTATTGTGGCTTGTCATAGCAGAAGGACCAACCAGGATTGCAAGTAAACCTTTGGACTGCTTCCTCGGGATGATTTCRGCTTTGAATGTGCCAAACCAAAGCTGAGAAGCTGCACGTTGTGTGTCCCAGGTGGTCCCAGGACTGGCAGAAGCCGACGTGGGGAGCCAGGAGGGTCCCCGGGARCAGGTGAGCTGGCTCGGCCCTCGCGTCTCTCTGCTCGGGGATTTTCCTGCTGCTGTTGGGTGCCACAGGATGCAGCTGCSCAGCTGCCGTTCGGCTGCCAAAGCAACTGCACACGCCTGCAGCGGACGTGCCCGCCTGGGTATTTTAAGTTACTGCTGTTTAACTCTTACAAGGGCAGCCTCAATCTCTCAGCCCTTCCATAACAAACAATAGTTAYGGCTGTTTAAAATACAGCTGGTTASAAAACGAGTAAGCGGGAGTCAGCAGGATGAGGAATTTCTGTGTGTCCTCCACAGCCACCAGCACCCCCAGAGCCCTGCATTGGGGCAGCCCTTGCAGGGGGCAGAGCCCTGGGCTTTGGCAAAAATCAAAATTATGCCAGGCTGGGTCCCCTGCATTGGCTCTGGGTTTCTGCTAAAGGGTTTCCATGCTGTATAAGGCTGCCAGGGGGACAGAGGGACCCTGGGCACCCTGACTCGTGCCAAGTGTCCCCCTCAGCACACTGGGCTGTCACCAAAGCGCTGTGGTTGTGCTTGGCTACAATAATGAGTGCATAACTATTGCTTTAAGGAATTAGAAACTTTTATGACAAAGCCAGAGGAGCTTGCAAGTGCTGRGAAGTTCTGGATTATGTCTTGTTCTGAAAAATAAATACCCCCATTGAGACATTAAATTGAAGCAAAGGTCGCTCTGTGAGATGGGCTAAAAGGCTACAGTCACAGTTACCCTACGACAGACAGATGCTTCGGGGGGCTGCTCCCCTGTATTGAGCCCCGGGCCGGCCCACACTGGGTGCTGTGGGTGCCAGACACCTGTGGGGGGCGAACGCGACCGGCGCTGCAAAGGGCCCCGCGCCACCCCRCTGCACCCCCTCGTGCCCCTGTGGGGCTGACACCAAACACCGGCACCGCAGGGTGCCCCGGGGAGCGGGGCGGGTGGCAAGAGCTCATATTAGGCAAAGGTTCCAGTTTCACCCATTTTCGCTGGACCTTGGTAGGCTCTTTTGGTGTAATACAGGTCTTCTGCATGTAGCCTGCAATGCTGCTGCCTGTGGAGGGAGACCATAACTTGCATGCATGCCCATATTTGGTACCACTAAACCTACAGGAGCTGTAAAGCTTCTGGTTTAATCTAAGAGGTATTTTACGTTTATCTATATAATCCGGAATGATAGGAACGTATTTCARAATCTGTGCAGGCTGTCATCGCTTGCTCAGGAAACCTAAGAAAACTCTCGTACAAGCTAGAAAAGGAGCTGCAGAAAGAAGCTATGCAGCCAAATTAGAGCTCTCAGCCGCTGCTCCCAGCTGCATGGGTGGAAAGAACAAACCTGAACTGTTAATTTCAGCCCCTTCAGAGAGATCAGTGTTCTCCAAAAGGAAGCAAAACAAAATAAATACGAACACTTGGCATTTGAGTTTCATTAGAAAGATGAGAAAAATGAGCTGAGCTGGTGAATACAGCAGTAATTAGCATTACATTATTAGCTTGCAAGGCTGAATGTACCAACCTAGAAGCAACATGGGTGAAACAATGACCGTGTTTTTCTGGTTCTCTGATGAGATTGACTTGCTTTTGTTTCCTCATCCACTAGACTGGAGCCAACCATGTAGGTTTTTGTCTGAAGGTCTGTACATAATTGTTGCTCAAGGTTCTCCAAAATGAGCAAGCTTTGGTTTGGTTTTTAATTAGCTGGTGAGGTGCCAAATCATGCAAGTAAAACTGCCTCTGGGACAATCCCATATGAAATGAATAGAAATTATTCCCCCTTGGAAGACACAGTGAGACACCATTATTTTTTGGCACAGGAGGAAAGCAATACTTGAAAGTAGYCCTGTCTTTGATTTGTTATCAAAGCTGAAACTAGAAGAAAGCCCAGGGAAGGCCTTTGCACTTGGAAACAAACAAACAAACAAAAAAAGGAATACAGATCTCACTTGATGAGACAAAAAGCAGGAATCAAATGAGCAGAAGGTGCTAAAAGAAGAGAGGAAAGAACCCTCAGTTTGGGGCTCATGTATCTTCCTGTGACTGTAGTGTGACCAGGTAGCTGGGTGTTTACAGCCTCCAGCACTGCAGCCCCTGGAAAGGCATGAAAACAGAACCAGATACCTGTGGCTGCATGTGTGGATGCAGGGATCATCTTGGGAAGGCTGCACAAAAGGAGAGCAGCCTCTTCTGTTGCTTGGCCTGGGGAGCGGGAGGCTGGGGCTGCCCCTTGGGGCTGGGCTGTGCACMGGCAGCCTCCCAGGAGCCGCTGGCATCTGGCTGAGAAGGGACAAGGGGCACGAGCAGAGGGACAAAGCGCAGCCTTGCATCCGACCAACTGCTCAGCTCGTTGCATTTAACTGCCACACAGAGGTCAAGGAACTTCTTTGTCCTATAAGGCCTCTAGGGAGGATCCCATCCCACTACCATTGGCAGTAGGTAAGTAGAAATTCAAGTTCATATACAGTTCTCCTTTTCAGTCCTGGCTTAGACCTCTACATCTTTTAGATGTTTTGCCAAGCTCAAAATGTTCAAATCTCTAATCAAGATACTTCAGCTTTCATTTTTCTTTCAGTTCTCACAATTGCTCTTTCTCAGTTTGTCTCCTAACTTGCTAACTTGATGTTGCCTTCAATGTCTGTCTGTCTTTCCATCCTGCTACAATTCCTGCTGTACTTTATGCATTTCCACAGCTCCACTAGTGGAAGGTGACTGACCTAAACCTATTCTTACATTCTGTACATTCCTGTTTTCTTCTCTGCTGTTCTAGTGTCTCCTCCACAGTTCTGGTGTTTATTCAGTTTTAGATATCTGCATATGTTTCCAGTGCCAACAGATCTTTTTCCCTTCTTGCAACCATCCTGTTATTTAAACTTTCCACTACACTTGCATCCTGGCTGCCAACACAAAACCTTCATCTTCTATAAACTGTATTTCACCGGCGTATCACTGGCTTAAAATTCCTCTTTGTAGCCAACTCCGTCTGCTCTTTTGCCCAAAGACAAAATTCAGTGATATCAGTTCTTTCTGCAGATGCCCTTGCTCTCTCCTTAATTACTACTGAAACAAGTGTCATATTTCTGTTGCTTCTTTCAAGTCTTGGATAGCTCTGGACCTGCCCTTTTTTGCATGATTTTTATCATACTCCTCCCTGTCCCAGCAGGGCCAAGTTCTGTGTTCTGTTTCCATACAGAGCTGGGGTGCTGGAGCACATGATAAAGCACATGCAGGAGTCTGAGCTGTCTGGTAAGCAGCAAATGGACTAGGGACTTGCCATTCAATTGATCTGCTTTTGTGCAGCATGTCTGACCTGCCCAGCATGACCCAGATTTACTATGCATACATAGATCACTTCCACAGCGCAGACAGAAGGGCTGAAGCTTTCCAGAAAGATCAAGTTTACAACATATATGCAGTAACATYGATCTGTTCTTGTGTAGAACTCCCATGTCTGGGATTTTTCAGTATCTAGAAGCCTGTAAAAATATATGAAAATCATGGAATTTTATCTGGACAAAATTTCCAGACAGAAAAATATGGCCTGACCCTATTCCAGCTCTGTCATTTTATTTCTTTCTCACTCTCTCATCTTCATACTTCTTTTTCTGTGCCAGGTTTTGTATCTACATCCATAGGCATCACAGTTTCTTAGGYACTGCTACCTACAGCTAAGCTCTTCCTCTCTGATTGCAGACATAGCAACCCTCATGCCAGTGCTCTGCCACTCCCAGCAGAGTATTCTGATCGCAAATGAGAGAGCTCTGAGCTCACACTTGGAGCTCCCAAGTGTAAACCAGTGCTCTTAAAGTCATTAACAAGCATATTCAGAATACAAGTATTTATTGTGGTGGTTTTGCTTCTGGTTTCCTAACTGACGGACTGTTGTATATGCCACATGTCCTCCCATGTGGGTGCTAGTTGTAGGCAGCAGAGGGACGCTTGTGAACACGCTTCCCCTCTGGTGTGCTGCCCCATGTTATGTAATCTCACCTGAAGTTCCATTTCTGTTTCTTTCTTGACCTCTTGCAGCTGTTGCTGGARTGACTTTATCTCCTTCTTTCCTTCCTCTTCCCTGAAGGAAATGGGAAAATACAATCAATATGAACAGAGCAAGAATGACAAAAGCTTATTGCTTAGGGGATTCTGGTCTCCATGCTGCACCTAGCCGAATGCTACCCCGCTTACTCTGAGAGTTTCTTACAGCTGAACTAAAGCAGTGCACACACAAGTTTGGCCTGCTTCTTACCACAGAGGACAAGCCACTTCCCATGGCTGCTATTTCTTCTAACATGGCAGGGATTGAACCAGGACTGCCCATGCCAAAAAAAAAAAAAAAAAAAAAAAGGATAAATTGATTTTGATGTGTAACACTGAACTTCATTTATAGTTTAAAAAAAATAGAGAACACAAAGAGGAAGACTGGANACTGGATAACTTCATCTGAATGTGATATCCCCAAAAAAAAAAAAGCCAAAAAAAAAAAAAAAAGGCACAGAATTTGGGGTTAAGGAGTCCTTGGTTTGTAGTACAAGTTGCAGGAAATCTGCATCCTGTAAGATTGGAGACAAAAAGAGGACTTATGGTTCAGTGGCAGGTGGATTAGTCTGAAATAAAACAACTGCCTCTGTCACCATGTGTAACACCCCTCCCTGCCAGGGAAAAGGGAGCAGGGCAACATATGGGCTAGAGCAAGTCATCTTGGGCATCACATAATCTTTATATATATATATATATATTTATATAGCTGGCCTTGGTTTGGACAAATTCTCTGCTGCTTTGGCTTTCACTGGGGACAGGAGTTAAAGATCCAGGAACTCCTACATCACATTATATTTTATTTGATATGGGGCTGGCATTTGCACTAATGCAGACATGGGTGTCTACTGTGGTGAAAGCCCGGGCAATTCCTCTCAGCTSAATATCAGAACCATCAGTTCCTTTTCCCTGAAGGGGAAAGAAATAGCGATTTGCAAAGCAGTTAGAATAATTCAGTGTGTTCTGAGGAATAATAGGGTTTGGCTCTGAGCAGTTAAGGAGGAAAGTACTGAACACAACTCTAACCTGATGAGGATGTCATGCAGCTTTCTCCTCTTTTCTTTCTCTCTCTCAATTGCTTCTGGTAAGCTACTAAATGATCCCAATTCCTGCATCATTATCATAGTGCTTGTAATGACATCACTCACATACTGCCTGCCAGGAAGAAATAAAGGAAACACAACTGTAATTTAGAAGCATATTCTGATATTGCAGTGACTAGCATTGTTATCCATTRTTGTTCACAGCTAAAAAGCTAAAGAAATGCAAGATGCCATTTCTCTTCTTAGATCCTATGAAGCCCAAGAGTGCCTTGCCCACGCTGCCTGACACTTGTGCTTCTGAGGAGTAACCCCATCCTGGGAGTTGGTCAAAGTTTAAAATTTAAAGGACAACTGCCCTGAGAGTAGCTGCCCTGAGCCTTGGTTGAGGAAAAGGTGAAGGGGCACAAGTGTGTCCATGCTGTGSCAGGCTGAGCTGCTGCATCAGGAGCTGCTGGTCTGCAGTAATGAGAGCTACGTGGATCTGGGAACGTGAGGGAAGGGGAAGCAGATAAGACACTGYGATGCAGAGGAGTGTGTGTATGGAGGGAGGGCCAAAATATCCCAATTCAGTCCTGACCTAGTCTTTACAAGTACATAGGCTTACTCAGCTTGTTGAATTTCTTGGTACATGTGTTGTTTGTGTTTTAGCTGCATTTTCCTCATTTCTGTGGAGATTTTCTTTAAGTCCCATGTTGAAATAACATTAAAAGACAGAAGCCAATATTCAGAGAAACATCTGCTGTATGCTCAGCTCCCAGAGCTGTAGTTTAAATCAGAGRCTCCTGGTATTTCTATAAATCAAGGCACTGGATTAGCTGCAGACATAACATTTATTAAAGAAACTCCTAGGCCTTTATATACCTTATCCTGTTCTGTAAAGGAGAATGGCTTTAGCTGCTATGTGAGCCSTATAGAAAAACTGGGTTCCAAACACAGTGCTCAGATGCTGCTTCACAGCTCCGAGCATCTTCCACTGAACCCATCCTGTTTGTGCTTCACTCACCTGTCAGCCTGAATTTTTCTGAGGTTATCTGCAGACATGACTCTGTGTTTCATGAAAAGATGATAGGAACTGTCTAGATCCCCACTTTTCTGCAGCTGCTGCTTGAGTTCAGTGCTGTTAGGAGACTTGGTAGTGACTGGTTCCCCACTCCCTTGCCTTGGTGACACGAGCTCTTGCTCTTCAGTGTCCATCGCCTTCTGGGTCACTGTGATTTCCTTCATTTCCTGTCCATCAGCCTGAAAGGGAATAGAAAGACTTGCTTGCACACTGGGCAGTAGAAATAAGCCCTCTGCAGCATTATGTGAGAGGAAGAAAAGCCTAAATTAACAATAAACTTGAATGAAACTCTACTGAAATCAATTGATATAGTCTATTACTTTCTATAATGAGTGGAAAAGCAGAAACAAATTATCTTGTTTTAAACATACAGTGTAAGCTTATTGAAGTTAATGGGATCAAAAGTCTTGAAAAGATAGGGCTAGAAAAGGCCTCAAAGGGTCAGTTCACCTGCCTCAAGAGATGCTCTGTCACACTGTGCCTTCCTGGCTCATCTGTCTAAACATGCTCATAAAGACCTCAACCTGGAGCCTGCCCCCTGCCCAAAAAAGAAAAAAAAAAAAAAAAAAAGCCCTGGAAAAGCAAAAGCATTCCTTAAATCAATTCCTTGCTTTTAGGAATGTCTCTGCTCTGAGTGCTGTGAGTATGAGTAAGGACATATACTTCTGAGGCATTAAAGGAGAAAGTCACCTTGCCCCCACACGGGCATCTTGTCCGTGGTGCGTCAGCTCGGCTGGTGGTTACGCTGGGAGGCCAATTAACACAGTCACTAGCAGCCCCATCCTGGTTCACAGCTGCTCGCTCCCACCCTGGCTGCTTGGTGGAATGAATCAGCGAACTTGCTAAGCTGAAATGTTTTCCAGGGGGGAAAATAAAATAAAATAAAATAAAATAAAATAAAATAAAATAAAATAAAATAAAATAAAATAAAATAAAATAAAATAAAATAAAATAAAATAAAATAGACAAAAAAAAGTAATTTTTCTTGCAGCAGGGTGCTCTGAGGGGCTGCTGCTGCCTGGCTATCTTAGATGGATACTTTGGAATGGGATGAATCAGCCTCTGGAAGCGCCTGACTCACCACTGGCTATGGAGGGAGTCTAGATGACGCTGCGCTTAATTCCTGGATGGTTAAATTTACGTTAAATGAATCCCTTGCAAAGTATGTACAGACCAATGAAAACTCTGTAGTTAATTATATATATAAAAAAGGGATTAAACCAGTGTCYTGTTAATGGCTATGCTTAGAAAGAACTAATTTTAGCAAATGAACTGCTTGAATGCTCCGATAGATGTCTTATAACCTCTGAGCAAGTTTAAGACAGACCATAAACTTGGCTGACTGTAAAAAGCAGGGTCTTAAACATGAATAATGATGAAATAACTACCAAGTGGCAGGGAGTATGCAAAGTGCTCATGGTGCCTTTCAGCACTCTCCTAGTTGCTTATCTTTTGCTAGTCTTTTGCCCCAAATTCAGCAGATGGAAGCTGTCTTCTGGAGGATGAAGCAATGTGCAAGAGTGCCAGATTTAGAAAGTTAATGAGGCACTGGCCAGCACTGTGACTAACTCTCTCAAAAATGTCATTAACTGAAATTTAAAATGTCAGTACGTGAAATGCCAATCTATGGAAATGTCATCTCTGACTGACAGAGCTGTATAGGCATGCAAGTTGCTTTTGTAAATACATTGATAACAGGCAAATGTAAACAGAGGATGAGGGTGGAATGGCAAATTGCAGAGCACTAGAATTAGTACATACCTTTCCTGAACCACATTTTGGTCTCTAATTTCTTTCTCTCTTGATTTTTTTTATCCACATTAAGGGCACAACTGTGGCTTATAGTCTATGAGAAAAGCGTATTTAAAGAAATGACTTGAAAACAAGAGTATCTGTGCCCAAAGGAAAAAAAAAATAAGCGTTTTTGTGCATCATTTGTGTATCTGGAGTAGAGCAGCTCCTACCATCCTCGGTGTGTGTTCTTTCTGTGTAGGCTTCCTGCTGACACATCTGAGTTTTCCCACCCAGGTCTGTGAGGGAAAAGCACCCTATGGAAACAGGTGAGTCCAGCCACAGTAATCTTTTAAGGGAAGGAGTGCCCTCTATTGCACAGCTTAAGCATAGGCCTGAATCCCCTGCAGCATCAGCCTCTGCAGCTTTGTGATGGATTTGTTGAAAAGATACAMGGAAAGGAAGCAGGTGCAAGACTGAATAATATTTTACTGCTGCTCTCATATTCTTATGTTGGACACAGTGAACAGCATTAGATGTGAAAACCTAGATTCCAGTCACTCATTCCCACTTGATGCCATTTTTTTTCTATTTTCAGTTCCTCTTATAAAGGTACCTTTAAAGCACACATAACCTAAAAAAGACTGCTACCTCAATTAGGAATTCATACACGAGGACAGGGCTTAGAACCCTGGCCCCATCCTATTTCCTACACCCATCATGTATTCCATCAATTACTAGAAATTTCTCCAGGGCTTCTTTGCTGTCCTCTATACCTCTGCCCAAACTGCTTAGCTGTGATGACTACTAGAAACCAACTACTTAGTAGTGGCAGCTGAGATCAGTAGACAGTAATGCATTTTGAAGTGGAATTTTTCTAACTTCACTGTTGGCACAGGCAAGTCTAGACTACGGGAGACTAGTCTAGACTAGAGGAGCTCAGTCTTGAATACTTGTAAAGATCCTGTTCTTTTGTGCTTTTGACATAGCTGCATATTTATGCAAGAGCCTATATGCATTTTTTCCCTCTCCCTAACCCTTTGCATGTCTAACTACCCAGATTTTAAAATTCTAAGATCAGGAGCCTAGTCTGGGGACACTAAGTTCCTTTAGACACGTTTTGATACAGACTTCTCAGCAGTGCTGCACGGTAAATGTCAAAATAGGTCATGCATGGGTTTTTATTGCAGTTCTCCACCAAAAGGTCATGGAGCAGTTTGCAGAGAAAATATCTGAGTATATTTTTAAAAGTGCTGATAGAAGTTAAGACATAAAGCTAAAATAGAAAAATGATTTTTTTTAAAATAGTGAGGATAGAGGCACGTACATGGCTGGTATCTGCTCTGCCCTCAGCTGGGACTCCCATCATATATCCAAGAATTGAGAGCTGATCAACACAGTTCTCCAGCACAGCAGCAAACAGCAGGGCTTCAAGATGAGTGATTTTTTCCATTTCTTTAGTCTCTGCGTTCTTGCTAAAAGGAGACAATAGATGCCAATGAGAAAGACAATCTGGTGTTAGCAACAGTCATGTAAACTAAACATAGACCTGAAATAGCTTTATTTGTAGGCTTCCACATGCTTGCCTAGCTTTGTTTATAGCCTTGCATACACTGTTTATAAGAGCAGCCGTGCTCTGCTGATGGCTGCTTTCAGGGACARGGGGAATGTTTAGCTTTCCCAGAACAAAGTAGGTCCTGGTGCCTCCTGCAGTCAGTCTGGGTAKATGGGCTGAGGAGGGGGCACAGTTGGAAGGCACAAGCCGGGTGAGGTGGCCTCCCCATTTGGCACAGGGTGCAGTAGTGCTTCTTGTTGGGCTTTGTTCTTTATGAAACAGCAAAATGAAGATGATTTAAAAAAATAAAACCCTCTTTTGTAGGGCCTCAGGTGGTCAATCGTTCCTCTTTCTCTAACCAGTCCTCATTATACTGCATAGCCTTAACTTTATTAAGGTCCCATTCACCTCAGGGGAAACTGCTGTCAGCTTAGGGCTTTGAAAGATGGACAAAAAAAAAGTATCTGGGCTGAGCAAACCATCCCCTTGCCTTGCTTGCAAGTCCAAAGTTGTGAGAGTACAGGTGGGGAATAGTGGAAATTCACTATTAATCCAAGTGAAATTGGTTCGTTCTCTCTTCCCTGATTTAGAAAAAAAAAATGTATTGGAAAACGTCTACACACAGAAAAAAAAAAAAAAGAGAAAAATTATTTGTATTTTTTATCAACTTTTAAAAGTGACTRTGCAAACTTTAAAAAAGAGATTTCTTATACAGTGCCTAACACAACTGCAGTGTGAGTGGACTCTGAATGCCATTGCAGTGGAAGCATCAACATTAAAAATGAAACCTTCATTTGGCTGCAGTAGCTACAGCTGGATTTGTGCCACCTCTGAAACCCTTGGATAAACGTCCTAGCTCTGCAGAATGTTATGGTCAGATCTGTAAGCACAGCAAGGAGAAGCATGAGACAACGCCTGTCAATGTGATTAATGGGACATGACACGGCTACAGGTTGTGAAAACTAAAGAAGTTTAGATGCAAATACATGCTGGGTTGGGGAGAATTTGTGATTTTTCTGTAGCAATTATTAGGTGTTTGAAAATATGGATATTTACCTCTCAGAACCTGATACCTCTCAGAAACTGATACCATTACTCCTTAGCCTCATTTTTCCCTCCTTTATCTGAATTATAACATATAGCTTGAGGCAGCTATATCTTGAGATATCTTGCTTTACCTTGCTATAGCTTGAGACAGGAATCCAATAAAATTATTAACTAAGGGATATCTAATAATCTGTTTAACAAAGAAATAAATTTTACTTTTCTTCTCAAACTTATAATTAATTTAACAGTAGGAGTGGAGATGCAAGTCCATCTGAGGTGTTTTTTACACAGAGAAGGTCAGGCCATGTCTCTTTACAGTTAACAAGCACTAGTTAGTTGTTGTGTACATTTGTTTTACCTGTTTTTAAGGAGATCTATGATATTTTGAAGTCAAACCTACATGAGAAGACTCTCTTACATTTTCAGCCCAAATCACAAAAATGATTAAAAATAAATAAATATAGATTTCTTGAGAGACCTATGACAAATGATTACAAGTATTTCTGAAAGAAGAAATAACACTTGCAGCTCCCATAGGAAAAAGTGACTTATTTGGAAACCGCAGAGGATGCAATAGCTTTTCCTCTACCCCATCAATAACTTCTGTCCAGGAGAGAATTAACTCAAGATATTTATGTGTTTTAAGAAAACACACAGCTGGAACGGAGCGTTTCTCTAAATCCTGTTGGTTTGTTCCCCCTATATACTTCCTCTTATATCCATGCACTCAGCAGAGGTTTGTGCCAAGCCAGTAAGTTCTTCCTGGGCTTGTGTTGCCTTGGAGGCGAGAAGGAAACCACTGTCTGCGGCATCGAAAAACACTACAAATAACGAGCTGTTTTCGCTGGATTTTGGCATTAAGGTGACGTGTGCAGCCCATCCTGATGCAGACACTGACCTCAATCGCTCCACTCGGCTCAACTCCTTCATTGAAGTCTATTAACAAAAAAAATAAATAAAAATAAGCATGTGAAGGATATAGCTTCTCCCAAGAGTTTTGGCTGCCATTCTTTGCCTGCTGCTCTAAAGGGAAAGAAAAACATATCAAGAAGATGTTTTAAAAACAGCTGTATGGAAGCCTGGCCTGCTGCTCCSGTGGGGTTTGCCTCCCTGTGAGCACCCCACGTTCCTCCCCTCCTGCTGCCCATGAACTGAAAGGGCTGCAAGGGCAGTGCTCGCTTAGGCAGCATTGCTGCAGCGTCCCCCTCGGTCCCTTACGATGCAGCAGTGCTGGTGAATTCCAGTGAGGAAATTCCAAGCTGGAATGTCGCGTGGCAAATACATTRGCAGTGTGAAGCCCCTGAGCCCCGGCAGCAGCTGGGCCATAAATTGGGTTTTAACTTTCAGTGGGGGCTGCCCGTGAGGCAAGCAAAGCAGCTGTGCCTTACTAAATTCTGCTATTACAAATGGTAGAAAATAAGTTGCTCATCTGAAAATAAAAAAAAAAGAGAAATTAATCTTAGTTTTGGCTTTCAGATGCAATTCAGGCTTCATTCTGTCTATAGRGAAACATATTCAGCTTCTGCTCTCTGTGGTTGTACTGAGAAATAAAAGCTCTGGTGTTGCTCTTAGCTGGACTTCATCCCTCGGGACAGGAAAATATTGGATTTAGGGAGCGTTTATTGTGTGTGGCATCGGTGCTGCTGGAAAACAGGGTGTTTTGAGGGTCAGCTCATCCTCTCACACCGCGGGGTCGCTGTGGGGGCTGCTCTCACTGAGCATCGCGCTCCTGTCAGGGCTGCCCGCGGGCCCTGATGCCCCTGGTCCCGCTCCCGGTCCCGGTCCCGGCCTGGCCCGGCCCTCGATCCGGCCCCGCTCCCGGTCCCGGTCCCGGTCCCGGCCCTCGATCCGGCCTCCGCTCCCGGTCCCGGCCCCGCTCCCGGCCCTCGATCCGGCCCCGCTCCCGGTCCCGGCCCTCGATCCGGCCTCCGCTCCCGGTCCCGGCCCCGCTCCCGGCCCTCGATCCGGCCCCGCTCCCGGTCCCGGCCCTCGATCCAGCCCCGCTCCCGGTCCCGGTCCCGGTCCCGGCCCTCAATCCGGCCTCCGCTCACCGGCTCCGCGGCCCCGTCTCCATGGAGACCGCCGGGGGCCTTGTGGGGCTGCCCGAGCAGATGCCTCCAAGGCTGGGTGATCTTCCCCCTCAAATCCCGGCCCGCGGGAGGAAGGGAAAGCGAGCTCCATCTTCGGGAGTCGGCGCCTTTGGGGGGTTATTACCCCTTTGGCTTCTCCCCACTCCGGCGTTGCCGCGGCCGCCCCCGCGCTGGGGGGCCCTTCCGGCCCATGTCCCGGCAGGCCGCAGCCCGCCTTCCTCTTTCGCCGCCATCTTGGCCGGGCGCCGCGGGGGTGAGACGGGGAGCGGGGTCGGTATCGGGCCCGGTACCGGGGTGGCCCCCGCCCTGGGGCCGCCGGCGGGCGCGGGGCACCGGGGGCTCCGCGGCTGGCGCCTGGTGGAGGCGGCGGCGGGCGGGATGGCGCCGATGCGCCGCGGATGAGCGCGGGGAGCCGCGGCTGGGGGGAGTGAGCGCCCGGCTGCGGCGGCGGGTCCCGGGGGCCCCTCGCGGGCCGCGGCGGCCGCTCCGCCCCTGCCCGCCCGGCGCTCACGGCTCGCGTGTCGTTCTAGGCCTGCAGGAGCGCGGCGCGCGGAGGTCGCCATGAGCGGGAGGTGAGTGCCCGCCCCGGCCCGCCGTCCCCCTGCGCCGGTAAACGGCTCTGGTGGCGTCCCCGCGCCATCAAACCCCGGTGTTGGTCAGGGTGGGTGCAGAGCAGGGTTTCTCATAGCGCCCTGTTAAGGGAGGATGCTGTGACACACTTTATATTCGCATATTGTGTTGGTCATATATGTGTGATGGAGGACTCGAAACTGAATCGGATTTTATCTTAATGCCTTGGCGTTTGGCTTATGTGCGTGTGGGAGATGAGACTGGGAAGCTTGCATTGACATCGTAACATTAGGAGCCAACTGTCTCTTCAACTGTCTCTTTTGGTAGAGACCAGGGCTGTTTTTATGTGAGATGCAGAATCAGCAATGTAAATGCTTGASGGGTCCAGGGCGTATAGGTCTGTATCGTGTAAAAAATCATTGGGACAGTAGTGTATGGTATAGCTTGTCCAATAGCATATATAACGTCATTTGCCCCGTGGGTGTGATGACAGGACTGTGTTTCTGCCTGTCCCCACAGACTAGTTAATTCCACTGAGGCTGCAAAGCCRAGTTACGGTGGAGAGCAGTGTTTTCTCCTTTAGCAGTCACTGCAGCAGAGGAGGCTGTCAGGTTTATGTAGGGTATTAGAAAACACTAATACTTACCCATGTCTTTGCACATTTGAAAATAAAGCATGTGCTGATGTTGAAGGGCTGTGGTTTTAGTATGAAACCTGTAGTACAAGAAGTTTATAGCAGTTATGAAGTGGTCCAGATACTTAACGTTGCTGCATTGACTGACTTTTAAGGATTTGTAGGAATCTCATGAAAATGAAGCTTTTTCCTTAACTAAATTTCTGCTAGTGTAGAAATAGTTTCGTTCTGAAACAGCACCTTATTTTTCTATCTAATTCTCTGAAGTGATTTGTAATTTGTCAATGTTTTCACTGTCTTTTAGGTTGTGGTGCAAGGCCATTTTTGCTGGCTACAAACGTGGCCTCCGAAACCAGAGGGAGCACACTGCCCTTCTGAAAATTGAGGGGGTTTATGCCCGCCAGGAGACAGAGTTTTACTTGGGCAAAAGATGTGCCTATGTATACAAAGCTAAAAAGTAAGTAGCTCTTCTTTGTCATGGTAAATCCACAAACTGATGCCATTTTTTTTTTACAAAGGCCAGGATGTGAGTAGGCATTTATTGCTTGTGAGTAGGCCGAAATAAAATAAAATTAACTTTTCAAGAGACTGCCTGGCGAGTATTTGGTAGAGTAGCTTCTTTGGTTGGTCTCAGTTTAAAGGTTTTGGGGGTATTTTTGCTTTAAGTGACCCTTTTGACATTAATTTGGGTCATGTAATTCTATGAAATAACTTTGCTGTTACAAGTAACGTATTACCAAGTTGGATAAGAACAAATTTTGCTTTTGAGGCTGGCAAAGCTGAAGGCAATTAAATTGGAACTAGATGAATTGATGTCAATCAGTGTGACATTGAATTATTTAGATGGCAGAATGTTACATGAAGCCTGGAGTGTAACCTGAAGGAGTTTGAATCCTGAGCTGCTCTTCTGTGTCTATGTCACTTTTGCTGTACTGGTGTTGGTGGAGGTAGTTCTTTATCCCCTTCTTAATATGTGAGAGTTAGACACTGGAGTTCAGAGTTGCCTTGAATAAAACTGTTTTCAGGGTGGCCTCTACCTTTTCTTGGCAGCAATTTTTTTTGTCATCTGTCAAGTGCTTTAGGTCACTCTTGCCTTTAGTGTGTCTGAGAAGCCTTAGAAATACAATGTTAGGTTTTCTTTATAATAAATGTACAAGGTTTCTTGTTTAATTATCCTAACAAGGTAACCTAAAGGTTATGTTCCATTAATAGCCCTCCAGTAGTGCTGCTGTGAAATTACTAGCTGCAGTACTCCCTGCATTTGGAGGGAGTAGTGAAAATTCCAGGCATAACAGATTCCGAGGGTAAATGAAAGTGCATATCAGTCCAGTTAAAACTGACTGGAATAAAAAGACCAAAGTGYCTCAAAGAGGCTACGTTGTCTGCACCATCACTAGTTGGTCTTGCACGGTTGTGACTTGGCTGCTCAAAGGTTCTTTTCCTTGTTTCCTCAGCAACACCGTAACCCCCGGGGGGAAGCCCAACAGGACACGGGTGATCTGGGGGAAGGTAACGCGCGCCCATGGGAACAGTGGCATGGTTCGTGCCAAGTTCCGCTCCAACCTTCCTGCCAAGGCCATTGGCCATAGGATTCGAGTGGTAAGTGAATTTATCCTGGCAGCAAGATGCTTATTGATAGCTGTTGGGATGCATTTTAATGCTGCAGGGTGTGATTGGGGGGGGGCTGTACGTATGAAATTGCTGGGTGACTGCTGTATATTCAACAGACCCTGTGATAAGGGCCCTTTTTGGAGCTAGAGGGGTTTTAGCCTGGGCTTCGTGTGTTGAAGGGCTTGGTCTCATTGTTGAGAGTTTTATCTGCTCATTCTAGTTGACTGCAAACTCTCCTTAAGTCCCTAAACTTCCTTAGCTCCCTTCTCAAGCTGTTTTGATTTCCTGTCCCTAAATCTTCTCCATGTACTTTTTGTGTGCTTCATGTCCTCCATTATGCCCATTGGCAAAGGAGCTGACAAAGGATTTTTTTTTTCCCCCCATCTTTCCCAGGTGTTTTCACTGAGGGCTATACAGTCTTGTGCTAGTAAGACCTGTTCCACAGTTTTTATTTTAGTCAGAAGACTTCAGCAAAACTCTCCTTTTTTGGACATGACCCAGACTTTTAATGCAGTATCTTCACAGTGATACTGTCAAAAAGAACCTGAAAAAGATATTTTCCTTTACATCTTCCTTCCGTGCCTTCCAAAAGCACAATAGGAACAACATGGTAAAATTAGGGAACTAGGCCCATGAGCATCTCTTCCTCTCAGTGGAGGGAGCCTGTCTACCAGGAAAGCAGTACTTAAGTTGTTGCTACACTTCTCAGCTTTGCAGATTTTCTGTGTAAATTGTGGGATGGCTTTTGTAGGAGTCGGATTGATGATTGTAGAATGCCACAGCAAGACTTGTTTAAAACAGTACAGTAACAGTAAAATGTCTAATGTGATTTTGTGTTTTGCTCTTTTTACAGATGCTGTATCCTTCGAGGATCTAAATTTTTATTGGAAATAAAATGCGGAATGTGTTTCATTTTTGTACACTTGTGGTTTTTTATTCCCTCTAGCTGTTCTGAACGTTTTTTCTTGTTAGTGTACCAAAATCTACAGCACTGTGATGGAGTTTGTAAGTCTGAGCTAGATGTTAAAATAGCAATTTGATCCACTCTTGGCAAGGTATCCATGGAGCAGACTACATTCTGAAGATAAATAAATGTGCCCAGTATCTACGCTCCATC